AGGGAGTGGAAATACGGTTAACTTTGAGGTGGCTCTTGAGAATGGAGGCAACACCGCCGCCTCTAATGATGTAATGATGAGGTAATGATGGGATGAAACACACACACACACACACACACACACACACACACATACACATTCCAGAACGTTCCAGAACCTTCTGGCTTAGTCAGGGGCCAGGGCTTAGATCAAGGAGACAGTTGCTGATTGGTTGAAGAGTGGCGTGGCACCTGTCACATTATGCATGTTGAAAGCGTAGTGCTATAAGGGCTCTCACTCTCTCGCACACATACACATACACACAGTCCAGAACGTTCCAGAACCTTCTGGCTTAGTCAGATGGCAGGGCTTAGATCAAGGAGACAGTTGCTGAAGCAGAATAGGAGGCAGAGCCTTCAGTTATCAGCTCCTGTCTTATGGAATCAGCTCCCAGTTTGGGTTCGGGAGGCGGACACCCTCTCTACCTTTAAGATTAGGTTAAAAACATTCCTGTTTGATAAAGCTCATAGCTAGGGCTGCTGGGAGTCATCTGAGCTGTCCCTTAGTGATGCTGCTATAGGTTTAGACTGCCGGGGGATTCCCATGATGCACAGGGCTTCTCTCCTCTCCTCTTTATATTTATGTGTATGTATGGATATGTTTATATAGTTGTATATCACCATTACATATGACTAACTCTGTGACTCCCCCCGAGGTTCTCCTGCTCTCTCTGTGGATGCCTCTGGATCTGGAGCTCCTGAATTATAGCCGCTGGCCTCACCTTTCTGCATCCTGCTGCCCCCACCATGATGCCTCCTGTTACAAAAGGAAAATAACTTCTAATAACTTGTTTAACTGTAAACTAAATTTTAGAATTCATCCAACAACCACCCAACCGGTCGAGGCGCGGGCCGCGGAAGTTGTCCGCCAGCGTGTGGACAAGAAGCCCGCCGCCATCCTGGACTACAACTCCAACAAAGGCGGGGTGGACAACCTGGACAAAGTCGTCGGTGCCTACAGCTGTTAGAGGATGACCGCGCGCTGGCCCCTCGCCGTCTTCCACAACGTTCTCGATGTGTCTTCCGACGCTTTCGTGATATGGCGAGAGCTCAATCCCGACTGGATGCCCCGCAGGCACAACAGGAGGAGGGTGTTTCTCGAGCAGCTGGGCAAGGCGCTTGTCACTCCGCTCATCAAACGGAGGGCTCACCTGTCGCACACCGAATCAGCCATGGCAGTCGTGAAAAGCGTTCGGCTGGCCGCTGCCGCCGCTGCCACGGCAGGGGGGTCGCTTCTTCTTCATCATTATCATCATCTTCTTCTTCCCGTCCTCGGATGGATCTTGTCCTGTCGTCGGCCCCCCCTCTTGAGCCTCCCACTTCCACAGGCCCTGTAAAACCCATCCCCGCGAGAAAGAGGAAGAGGTGTCACGTCTGTCCCTCCAAGAAGGACAGTAGAACGCACAACGTCTGTCATCGCTGCGAGAAATACATATGCGGAGGCTGCGCGCTCCTGTACTGTCTTGCGTGTGCCAACTTCTACTTGTCCTCGGACCGCGGGACACTTTGACCCGGTGCGAGGACACTGGGTGTGTGCGGAATACGAAGGGCAACGGGAGGGCTAAACACTTTCTGATGTCACTGTTGAAGTAACAGAGGCCGCTGTTGTTTCAACAGAATCGACAATGAACGGACGTGTTCCTTGAAAGCCATGAAAAGTGCTGTTGGCTCCATGGACTGCTGCTTACGGTCACACCACTGTGACAACGCCCACTGTTTCTTTCAACCAGGAAGTGTGACAGCAGGTGGAGCAGAGAGGAGGGAGCTTTCACGTTTCCGCATTTGATCGGTAAAAGTCTTTTTTCATCGACTTATGAACATTCACTGACAGCAGAGGCTGTTGGGGGGGCATATTTTCTGAGTCCTCCTTGATCTGGGGGTGAAATGTTTGAAGACCACATGGTGCAGAAAATGGCTGGTGAAAAGAAGAAGGAAGTTGTCGGAATGGAACAAGGGAAAGCTGAGGAACTGAAAACACGGAGTGCAGAGAAAGAGAAAACGAAGACGCTGAATACAGAGAACGAGAAGGAGAACGTGCAAGAGGGAGACACTCAAGAACTGAGCTACAGCAAGGAGCTGACGGTGTTGGTTGAATTGGTTGGTGAAGACAAAGTTTCTGTAATGGAATTTTTAAGGGCAACAAGTGATGTTGGTGGACTGGTGGTTGGGTGTAGATACATTGGTGTAAGTAAATATGAGATCACAATGAATAATCAGCACGGGAAGAGGAAACTGTTGGATGGATTTAAAATCAAGAGCACACGGGTGATGGCTAAAGAAATTACAAAAAATGAAATGGTGGTCTCTTTTATTGGACTTCCAGTGTATATCACGGATAAAGAAATCATTCACAAACTTGTGGACTGGGGAGTGGAGCCAGTTTCTCCCATCAGGAAGAGAATGTGGCCAGGAACAAGGGCGGTGGAGGGTACACACTATCTGAAAGTGAAATTTACAGATACAGTTCAATCACTGCCATATTCCACTCGATTTGACACGGTGACGGGAGCTCAGTTTTTCAGGGTGATACACGAT